AGTTTCCTGTGCTGACCTGTTGCACCTTCTACAACCTTTTGAGTCCCCTGGCCAGAACTGCCTCCATAAACAGATGACAAAGGTAAAGATAAAGGGACCCCTGACCATTAGGTCCAGTCATGACCAACTCTGGGGTTGCCGCGCTCATCTCGCTTTATTGGCCGAGGGAGCTGGCATACAGCTTCCAGGTCATGTGGCCAGCATGACTAAGCCGCTTCTGGCGAACCAGAGCAGCACACGGAAACGCCGTTTACCTTCCCGCCAGAGCAGTACCTATTTATCTACTTGCACTTTGAAGTGCTTTTGAACTGCTAGGTTGGGAGGAGCTGGGACCGAGCAACAGAAGCTCACCCCGTCACGGGGATTCGAACCGCCGACCTTCTGATCGGCAAGTCCTAGGCTCTGTGGTTTAACCCACAGCGCCACCCGTGTCCCTTGTAAACAGATGACAAGCATTCAATAAAAACTAATAAAAAATTTCCTTTACAGTAGGGAAAAAATGCGTATAAAATATTTAAAGAGGAACAATATGTACAGCTGTTTACATACCCATGCTAAAAACCTGAAAGCCAAGTTGATTAGAGGACCTGGTACAAGAAGAATATATGGCTCTAGGAGGTGCATCCCAAACCTTGTAGAACAGTGCAAATCAGTAGGATAATTTTATCGTCATATGCCTTTGCTTTTGTTGGAGAGAGATTCCAATATTTGGGAACAGATGCTGATCTGAGAAAATTCCAGGCAAAATGAGAAAGGGAGAAGGAGTGGGGAGAGAAAAAAGAAATATAGAATTAGGCACATGTTATTAGCTACTTCACTAAAACTTTTATGAGAATCTTGAGGTGCTGTAAGAAATAGAGGTAACAGGAAAAATAGAGAATGATTTTATCTACTCTGTAAGTCTCTTGCAGTGCACTAGGGTAATCATAAACAAGTGGCTAGAAGATGGCAGCCTCAAATGCTAAAATGGCTCTTGGGCAGTATTTTTCTCTTTCTTCTTGTAAAAGCATCTCTGAGACATCCAGGTGATAAATCTGTGTGCCTCCAGACTCCAGCTGCTAATGACCTAAATTGAGTTTCCACTCTGGAGGCACTTTATATTTATTACAATTCATCGTTGCTCAGACATCAAGAGAAGTCACTCCTGGATTATTTTCACCTTTCTAAAATATGCTGCACTTACAGAAGGTGGGGCAGGATGGAGGATCAAACACCCTAAGACTGGGAGCAAAGAATGCAAATGGGACTAAGTGGGCAAGGAAATCTACCTCCACTTCAAAGTGGAGATTAAGGACTTCAGGGAACCGTTGTGTACAACAGAGAAGCCTGCACCAGAGACTCACTGTGCGTGCAATTGGCAGGCTCTCTGTTTCCTCTGCGAAGGGCTGAAGCTTGGTGGAAGAACGTGTATCAAAGGCTGGATTGGTGGATTGTGCTTTCTACAAAGAGGTTGTGGTCCCTTCAGAACCAATATATGCCAGCAGACAAGATGATGCAAGATGTCCTTCTAAAGTGTACAATTGCATGCAAGGACATGTCCCCCTCTATAGGTTACCCTACTTTGTGGAAGGTATGAGTTTTCCTGCCTGTGAGGATGGCCGTGTCCCTGCCCATCCTTTCCTGCCCTTCTTTCATTGCAGGACTAAGAAAGGAAGCACAAGATACGTGGGAGAAGATGCAGAAGTTTCTGTCTGTTGCTGATGTGTGTTTCCTTTCCTCTCGTTGCTCGCAGGGAGAAGTAGGGCAGTCAAAACTCAACGCCTTTCCATCCTTGGAGGCGGCCAAGAAGGATTTTGAGAAGAAATTTCGGGATAAGACCAAGAACAGCTGGGGTGACCGGGAGAACTTTGTGGCTCACGATGGCAAGTACACCTTGATTGAGGTGCAACATGCAGATGATGAAGAGGAGCAGGAGGTGACTGTGAAGGTACTGAGCCAAGGAATACACTGGGAGCAGACTGGCACACTGGGGAGAGGCATAAGTCAGTGCAAAACAGCAGAAACAAACAAAGCCTAATTGCAAACAGTCTAGACTAATACATTTAAAATTAGGTTAGTTGATTTGCTGGCAGTGCAATCCGACTTGCAAGAGAGTCCTATTGAATTGAATGCAACTTCTCTGTAAGCATACCTAAGACTGCACGGTAAATCAGTATGGTAAAATAAGTAACAGATTAATCAAACTAAAAAATAGTGGTCCAGTGCTTCTTTATCAGTCGTCCCAATACTTTGACACACAGTATCCAGAACACGCTAAGCCCAGGAGTGGGTTTACTTCTTATTCATTACTGTCCATATGGTTTTTTGGTTCTTTCAGAACATATGGTGCTGTGGACTTTTTGAAATGAAAGCACAAAGTTCAGGGAAGAGACCTGGGATGTGTCTGGGAGAATCTGGTCCCTGTCCTTGCATACCCATACACACACCATAGCTTTGGCCCAAGGACCAATGGGAGGCATCATTTGGAGAGCCAGATGGTTGATCCCTGGGCATTATAGCACCAGGCACCTCCTGTGGGCCGACCAGTGACTGAAGGAGTTCAGCATAGCATTAAGCATCTCTGCTTGCCTGATTGAATTATCTTCCCTTTCCTCTCTCTCACCCACTGTTCCAGGGGTTCCCCTGATGCCCATCAGACCCAGGGGTGCCGGGGGAGGGAAGGAGGTGGAAAGCCCCATTGCGCTAGCGAAAGTACTTGGGTGGGCTTCAACTGGCGGGACTACTTAGCTGAATCTGGCGCTGAGAGTGCCAGATGAGTTCTGCTGGTGTGCCTGCACAGCCCCAACCAAGCCGCCATTCTGTCTCTGCCCCACGCCATTAGTAAGAGGCAACAGTGCTGTCAGTAGCCGGGCAGAGCGCTATCACCTGGTTAAGGCTCCTGGTTGAGGCTGTGTGCGATCTTCGATCACCAATCCAATCCTCACAAAGTTATCCTAGCAGCCTAATCACAGTCTATCTCCCAGTTATCAGTGATTTAGAGGACTCCTGCAGGTTTTCAAGGTCTGTGTGAGTTAGAGAACATGGATAATCTCTTGTAGTGAGTGAACTGCGTCAGGGTTGGTGAAGTTAATGGAAGTCAGTTAGCATTTCCATGTGCAGGTCCATTTGCTCAAGGGTGTTTGCTTAAGTCCTGTTATTTTGAAAGGTGTTCACTGCCAGGTAAAAGCTTGTGTGTCCTACTGTGAATCTAAGGGTGAAGTTCAGCCCCACTAGAAGAAGCTGAATTGTGTGTATATCCAGACCCAGGTTGGTTCTTTGCTGTTTCCAAGGTGGACAGTGTAGATGGAGTGAAGCTATCCAAGCAAAGGATACGGCCCTGCACCTTGGACAAGCCTACTCAGGAGCTGGTCTCGCTCATCTTCAGCAATGACATGTTCAAGGATGCCATGCAGACCATGAATTTAGGTAAAGGGTCAAGGGATCTTTGGGTGGTGGGTTGGGTTGTTGTGTTGTTTGCTTTGCAGCAGGTGGGAGAAGCACCCAATGGCTTCAAGTTACAAGAAAGGAGAGTCCGACTAAACATTGAAAAAAACCTTTCTGACTGTAAGAACTGTTTGGCAGCGGAACAGACTCCCATGAGAGGCGGTGGACTCTCCTTCCTTGGAGGTTTCTAAGCAGAGGTTGGATGGCCACCTGTCATGGCTGCTTTAGCTGAGATTCCTGCATTGCAGGGTCTAGATGACCCTGGAGTCTCTCCGAACTCTATGATATATCCATCTTGCCTGCTCTTGGCATCAAACATACATTATCTGTTTATTGTGGTTTGCTATCCATTTGGCTAATAGAGAAAGCTGGTATATATAGTTGTAACAACATCAAGCTAAACCAATTAGTGAGAGAAAACTCGGTTATGGGGAGGAGGGAGATGGAGAGAAGTTCAGGTCACCTGTACTGTTGAGATTTGATTCTTTGGTCCTTGGTCACAAATGAAGACCAACCTGGGAAGAGCAGAAAGTGGTTCGGTTATAGAGTGAAAAGGGGCATGAATTGAACTAAGTACTGTAGTGGCGTTCTGATCCGGGTGGTTTCAGCTACTGATTTGTAGGATTCTTGGAAGTCCACAGAGTTGTTACACTGATCTCTGCCAAACTTCCTCATGTCACCCTTTTTAATCCCCTTTCCCAGATGTGAAGAAGATGCCCCTGGGGAAACTGAGCAAGCAGCAAATTGCCAAAGGCTTTGAAGCTCTGGAGGCCATTGAGACAGCACTGCAGAAGCAGCCGCCTTCGCAGAAGCAGCTGGAGGAGCTCTCCTCTCGCTTCTACACCATCATCCCCCACAACTTTGGCCGGGCTCGGCCTCCACCCATCAGCACTCAGGAGGTTGTCCAAGCCAAGAAGGACATGCTGCTGGTAAGGAGCTCCGAGTACTGGGCCAATCCCCCCGCCATTAGAGCAAGAGACATCTCTGCGCTGTGGAAGGCTCCGTCAAGAGTCCTGCATGCTCAGACTGAGACCAAGGTCTTGCCTACGCAGCAATGAAGTATCCTCGCTGCCACAAAAATTCTGTACTGCTACGCTTCCTTACCTGCTCTGACAGCCACAGGTTCTGTCTGGGGCCCAAAGCTGCCCAATGACCCTGTCAAATGAGAAAAATGGTGTGTGGGTAATTGGCCAGAAATGTGTTTTAAATGTTTGAGAGAGAGCTCCAGTGGCCATAGGTTCTGCTCACTTGGTCCCATGCTGTGTCTATTGCACAGTCTTTTTCCACTTGTGCTAAAAGATAGCAGACTAAATATTTTAATATTAAACATAATAATGGAAGCCTTTATAGCAGTTCAATTTGCAGTGTTTAGTAAAGGTAAAAGGTAAAGAACCCCTGTTGCTCTGTCCCAGCTACTGCAGTGTTTAGTACTATAGGAATGAGAGCTGAGACCACAACAAAAGAAAGGAACATAGGAATCTGCCTTATACTGAGTCAGACCATGAATCCATCTAGCAGCTGAGTACTGCTGACCCTGAATAACTGCAGCTCCCCGGGGTTTCAGATGGGAACATTCCCAACCCTACCCGGAGATCGAACCAGGGACCTTCTGCATGGAAAGCAGATGTTCTACCATTAAGCCATAGCCTTACCTGCAAACAATGGAAACACAGAAGCTGCCTTATGCCAAGTCAGACCTTTTGTCCATGTAGCTCCATGTTGTCTACACTGATTGGCAGCAGCTCCCTGTGATGGACCATCTGCATGCAGCTGTTCTGCCAACAAGCTGCAGCCTTTCAAAACTGAAGGGTATAATCTTGAGAACTCACAAAACAAAAAGGCCAATAACTCTGGTCCAGTTATGATTTTGCACTATAAGCCCTCAGTACTCAAAATGGCTGCTTAGTGGGTGCAGCCTTCAGGGTTAATAATCGCTTCCACTCTTGAGTTCAAGAGTCTCTCTTTCCTCATTTCATTTCATTCGTTACATTTCTGTGTGGCATTTCACTCACACAATTGACAAAGCAGCTCACAAACAATAAACAGCAATAACATAATAGAACATCGCAATTAAAACATAAATCATATAAAATAACAAATCCTCAGTAAAGCAATTAGAAATCTTCTGTAAAACAACCACCTTTTATAAAACACTAACAAAGCAACTCAAACATAGCCAAGCAGCACAACCACAAGTCATATTATAAGATTCACAAAGCACTACAGCATTCATAATCTACAAAACAATATTAACATTAGCAAACTAACAACCAAAAACAAAGAAACACTATTGAATTCATTCTCTCTCTCTCTCTCTCTCTCTCTCTCACACACACACACACACACACACCACCCCCAATAGCAATATTGAAAACATATGAAAAACCTTAACCTTCCCCCCTTTTGATTTCAAGCTAGAGCACCAATGAGATTTCCCTAGCTGAAATGGGCTACCAATAGCACAGTCCTAGATATGTTTACTTGGAAGTGAGGCTCACATAGGATGGCAGTGTAAGCGTCAAATGGTTCCTCCCACCACCAGTGTTTGTGAAGATTGGTTCCCTTTCCTGATAGGTACTGGCAGATATTGAACTTGCCCAGAGTATGCAGGCCCAGAAGAAGAAGGAAGAGGAAGAAGAGGAGGAAATGAAGGTGGAAGAGGTCCCACACCCAGTGGACAAGGACTATGGGCTCTTAAAGTGCGAACTCGCCCTGGTAGACCCATCATCAGAGGATTATAAGGTAGGGTGACCCTAACAGGAAGCTTCCCAGTCTGGTTGCTGTGGTACTGTAGGGTACTATGCATGCCCCTGCGTTGGAAGCGCAGGACCTCTGAAAAGTGGGGGCAACATGCAGGGGGGAAATGTTGATTCTCTGCACTTTCCATTTTCCTCTGTCTGCCTCAGTGCTTTAATGATCACTTTCTTCCTCTGCTTCTCTCCTGCTCCCTGCAATTAGCTGATTGTAAACTACGTAGAGAAGACAGGCTGCACTTATCGGAAGCTTCAAGTCCTGAACATCTGGAAGGTGAACAGAGAGGGCGAGGTAAGGTCAACTGGCAGGGCCCCTTCCCTTCTGTTAACTGACTGTGTGTACTTCTGCCAGTTGCCTGAAATTGGCTTCTGTCTTTGAGCAAAACCACCCAGAGCATCTCACTTTGCAGCTGCCTCTGGCACCAGACAGAATAGACCTAGGAGCATAGCAACAAGGAAAGGCCCTGAATGGCGGTTCCTGGCTTATTCTCCTTTGGTTCCAGCAGTGCCAGGGTCCCTTGTGGAACATAGGAAGCTGCCTGAAATGGAGCCCTTTGAGCTCAGAATTCCAGCACTGGCTGGCAGTATCTCTCCTGGGTTTTAGGCAGGGGTCTCTATGGGACCTTTTACATGCAAACCATGGGCTCTCCTACTGAGCCTCATCCCTTCCCCCATTGTGCTGGTCGGCACCCCTTGGCATCTGTTGGTCTGTATAGCAGCAGGGCCCATAATGAACCTAGCAGGTGCTTTTGTGTAAAGAGCTACAGCCCTCTGTTAGTGGCGAGGTATCACTCACAGCACTGTGGGTGCCAGCCAAAGCAGACCGATGCTGTCTAGAGAACTTGTATGTTGTGGGGCAGTGTCCAAATGTCATCAGTGGTGCTGAAGGTGCTCCTGGGATGTAGTTGAGAAAAGGCAGCTTTGGATTCCCAAGACCCAGAGTGGCTGCATGGGGGCAGAAGAGACCAGAGGACCTCTAGTCCAGCTACAACCCCAAAGGAGGACTCTTTGCCTCTTAACACAGCATTGTCACTGTAGATCAGGGATGGGGAAACTCAGGTCAGGGAGAAGCGGGGGGACGTGGCTCTCCATGCCTCACTATCTGACCCCAATTTATGCGAGTGAAAATACAACCAGCAACTGAAGGAGAAAGCGTCTTCCCCACTTCCTTTTCTGTAAAGGTGTCTCCTCTGGTAGGTGGTAGGTTGGTGTTGGGAGGGAGTGGGAAGGACACATTCTCATCAGTTCATGCTCCATAGGCGCCCTGCTACACATGGCTGACTAGTCACAGTTCAGCTTTGCGGTGTGTGCAAGCCATGCTCAGCGCTCTCAAGAGAAGGCTTATCTTGCTGCCCATAAGCATAAAATTGCACCCTTCACATGGAGGGAGAGCTCTGCTTGCTGAACTTCTTTTTCTATCCCATCCCCATTCTGCTAACAGGGCAACCGTTTCAAGGCTCACGGCCACCTGGAGAACAGGCGACTGCTTTGGCACGGCACCAATGTGGCTGTCATTGCAGCCATCCTGAAGAGTGGTCTACGCATCATGCCACACTCCGGCGGGCGTGTGGGCAAGGGCCTCTACTTTGCATCGGAGAACAGTAAATCGGCAGGATACGGTGAGGCAACCAACACTCTGTGCTCCCTTTGGGCTGCAAGGACTGCCTCCCCTCTTGTTCTTTCCACCGTTTTCTCAGTGGTTTGCTGCCTTTCTCTGCTGCTGCTGCTGCTGCTTCTCTGGTCTTAATAGTGGCAGGGCAGAAGGCAGGTCCATACAGATACCCCTGGTCCATGTCAACATGCTTTTAAAAGCTGCCACTGCTACTTTTCGCATATATAGATATAGATATGAGAAAGGGAGGTAAAACTGAAAAGTGTGCATTTATATGCCTGTATTTACCGTATTTTTCACTCTATAAGACACACTTTTTCCCCTTCAAAAATTAAGGGGAAATGTGTGTGTGTCTTATGGAGAGAATGCAGGCTGCTTGGCTTCAGCGACAGCAACGCGAAGCCTCCGAAGCGCAGAGGAAGAGCTCCCCCCGCACTCCGGAGGCTTTGCGTTGCTTTCGCTGAAGCTGCCTGAAGCCCCCGGAGCGCAGTGGGAACTCCCGCTGCGCTCCAGGGGCTTCAGGCAGCTATCCGCAAGCCTTTGGGGCGCAGTAGGAGTTCCCGCTGCGCTCCGAAGGCTTGTGGATAGCCGCCTGAAGCCTGGAGAGCGAGAGGGGTTGGTGCACACCAATCCCTCTTGCTCTCCAGGCTTCGCTTCGCTCGAGAGGCGCTGCACAGTTTTCCTTCTCTGTGCAGTGCCCCTTCAGCGAAGCGGGAGGAGAAATGGAAGGGGCTCCGTTTCTCCTGCCACTTCGCTGAAGGGGCGCTGCGCAGAGAGGGAGAGCTGCGCAGCGCCCATTCAGTGAAGCGGGAGATGAAATGGAAGGGGCTCCATTTCTCCTGCTGCTTCGCTGAAGGGGCGCTGAATGGAGAAGCGAAGAATTCCCCCCCCCCCCGTTATCCCCCTTCTATGGTCCTGTGCGTCCTATGGTCCGGTGTGTCCTATACAGTGAAAAATATGGTAACTATTTCCATTAAGTGATCCTGGCTGTGTCCCTTCTAGTGCTTTCCACAAGCACTTAGGTCTTTTGTAACCTTGTAAACTGGAAATGAACCTTAGAGGCTTCTAGCACCAATTGGGTGAAAACTTGTTCCAGATTGGAGAATGTACACCATGGTGGTCTTTGGCTTTGCTCTAGAGGAAAGCACATCCTCTTCCAGAAGCAGGGCATCCCGTTTTTTTGCCAATCCATACTACTTGGATAAGACCACCCCAGCCCACTGAAAAAGTGCTTTTGACAGTTATGGGACAGTCCAGAACAGCATGGGATGTGGCGCAGCAGGCTACTAGCAACTTTTATCCTGCTGAAGATCTAGGACTTGTGCATGTCTGTTTGGACCAATACAGAGTATTAGTGCTCTAGCCATTCCTTCCTCATAGAAGTTGGAAACGTCCAAATTAGCAGCCCCAGTTTGAAAGAGCAACTTCCTTGCTTTCATCCTATGCCATTCAGGAGGATGAAACCTGTGGTTGCATTTTTGAAGAGGATATTGGCAATGCCATCTGAAAACAATACTATCCATGATGGGATCTGTCTGTCCTGTTCAGCAGAGGTTATTATTATTTTTTTGAAAGGTGGAATATGTTCGTGATATATTCATCCTCCTACTTTCCTAATCCCACTGGATTTGTGTGCCTATGTGAAGCAGAGCACAGGGAAGGATACGGTACAGTGTATGTGACTCGAGCTATCCATCACTTTAACCACTGGGGCCTCTTTTTCCTTCCTCCCCCCCCAGTTGGCACCACCTCCAATAGGGTGGGGATTATGTTCCTGAACGAGGTGGCCCTTGGCAAAGAGCATCACATCACCCAGGATGACTGTTCGCTCCGCAAGCCCCCAGACGGTTATGACAGTGTCGTGGCCCGCGGCGTGACTGAGCCAGGTAAGCCTGAAGGTTGGAAAGAAACAGTTGTGATGTTTTGCAGCCTGTTAATCGTATGCTAACCTCCCTCTCGCTCTCTTTGTTTCTGGCTTGCTGTGCTATCCCCAGACCCTGCGCAGGATAAAGAGATAATCCTGGATGGGAAAAAAGTGCTGGTATCCCAAGGAAAGCCTGTTCCTATGGCTAAGTACAAGAGCTCCTGCTTCTCCCAGAGCGAGTACCTGATCTACCAGGAGAGTCAGTGCCGCATTCGCTACCTTATTCAGCTCCGCTTCTGAGGCGTTTCTCAAGCGGCTCGCCTGCTGGGCCCCGCCTATGCAGCAAGGAGGTCCTCATCTGCCTAGCACTGAACAGGCACGTGACTGTGATATGGCAGTCCGCAGTCAGACTGCCTTGG